GCGAGCCTCACAAGCCGAGCTTTATTAGGCTCGAGCTCGGCTTKATTAACAAACGAGCCTGTAAATTGGGCTCGAGCTCGGCTCGAAGCTTGGTTGAAATCGAACTGAGACGAGCTTTTCACGAGCCAAGCTCGAATAGCTCGTGAAGAGCTCAGCTTGTGGCCACCCCTAGATATGAGCAACCCAATATATTTAAAATTAATTTTTCATTTCCCTATTTTGAATTAAAAAGTTGGTTCATGTCCTTTAATCACAAATGAAATCCAATTTTGTTTCCTAATTTGTTTGTTCATCATTAATTTAATGGCATATCTCATTTATCTTTTAGGTTTGAGTTATGGTCAATATTGGTCATTAATCAAGTAGAACTATATATAACCTATAAAGCTTAAATGAGATTCAAAACAGAACTCAAAGTAGTTTGAATTATAAATGGATCCGATGAATGAAACTAAAATCCAAATCTGAGTCCCATTTGAAATCTGATCATATTTGAAAATGACATATACAATTCAAATTTATTCTAACTTTGCTTCATTTTTCAAGTAAAGAAAAATTTTTAAAAGTTAATTACTTTCTAGTGTGAATATATGAATATAAGTATGAAATATTAAATTTGCTATATATAAATTTATATAATATATTATATAATTATATAATTTCATATATTAAAATCAATATATTATAATATAATCAAATTCAAATTTTAATTTATTTGGATGGATTTAATCTGCATCAAAAAAATACATGGTTGTCAGAGAGATAGACAATAATTACAAAACAAATAAAAATTACAGAAAACAGATTCAACTAGGACCAAATCAATATCTGATTCATTTGCAGCCCTACCTTTGGATATAGGGGTGATCATTTCAACCTGGCCCGGAAATTTCAGGCTTGGGCTTAGGTTTTATGTTCAAGCCCAGCCTAGGACCGGGCCCACACCATGCCCACAAATTTCAGGCCGGGCCTAGGCCTAATACTTAAAACCTGGCCCAGCCCGCATATGTTTAAATATATGTATTTTATACATAATGTATACATATGTATATATTTATGTCTTATTGTATTTTTTATTTAAATATTATAATATTACACTTATAATATGTATTATATATAATATTTTATATTATATAATGTATAAAATAAAATTATATGCATATTATATGCCATTTAATATATATCATCATATATACACATGTGAAGCACATCCCTTCTACTAGTATAATAAAAGAATAAGTGCTTTCCCAAATATTCCATTCCTATAAAAAAGGCTGCATAAATTTGCCCTTGCCTGCATTAAGGAAGCAATCTTTAACATCTATAGAAAATGTACGATATATTTTTTTTATCAGCAACAGATAGAAAAAGTAAGATTTATATATATATATATATATATAGAGAGAGAGAGAGAGAGAGAGATTGTATTGTGATAATATGCAGATATAAACAGAAGGCACAAGGATAAGGACCCATTAACTTGCCTTCTCCAACGGTTCTTGTTCCTCCGTGAACAAATCTCCACTAAACATAGTGTCAGAGCCACTCTTTATGGTATCAAATAATATTCCTCCTGTTTCTGTTATTTGGCTGGGATTAAGTGATTCTCTCCCCAATATCAAATCCTCTGCATGAAAACGAAGATCAAAATAGCACCTATTTTAGAAGCTTCCTTACGATAAAAGAATTACTAATAAATGCACGCCATTATATAATATTTTACATTTTGTTGAACATTTCACAGAGAAGCTGTTACCTGTTAAACCACAACTGTTGTCATGAATATATTCTTCCGAGCCAATTACATGTGGGAGTGGACCATGTGCAAAACCCATCTTCCAATAACCATATGAAAGAAACAGATGACATCCAACCATACAATTAGAAAGTGTCAACATTTTTTTTTTTTTGAAACAGCATAGTATTTTATTGAATTCAGAAGAAAAAGAACAAAAAAAATGAGAAACCCTGTACAGTGTCTATACTCTTGGGGATTACAATTTTTTGTATTACAAAATATTCTATTCTGAAAGAGATTTTCAAAGATTAAAGTATCAATAAATGTCTAATATATGAGAAATAGGAAAAGGATTCCAGATTTTATGTCATAATAATTTAAGAATGATAAATATACACCAACATTTGTTAAGTTAATCATAAACTATAAATTTGGCTACAAGTGTATTTGACTATGCATAGTATATAGAAATCACTACAACAATTTTTTTTCTTTTCTTTTCTTTCCTTTCTCATGTATCAATAACTAAAAAAGATTTCAAAGAAGCATAGGAAGTATAGAAGTGTAAAAAAGAAGGCAATTGGCTCAACAAGTAGTCTTTTACCATGTAAAATCCTCTACATCCAAACAAAAAAGACCAATTGACATAAGAATCATATCTGCATAGATATGCATACAGGGCCTCTCGATTCCATCAAATATCCTCCTAAGCTTTTTGGATGGCTTCAACAAACAACAGAAGGTACCATCATATAAAGGATAAAGACCTCAGATACCAAAGATACTACACTGAATGGAGGAGGGCTTCACAAAGAGGAACCAACCAAAGCAATGTCTTTAAAGAAAAATAAACAAATATAGAACAATTGATCAAATTGATCATCAAACGTAAAGAAATAAATGGTCCACATACTCTTCTTCTAATTTGTACGCCATACATCTGAATACCCCTATAATTAAGATAACCCACCATGACAACCCTATCTTTGAAAGAACAAGCCAATCATAGAGGGACCCACCAGCCACAAATAAACAAAATGAAGGACTCCACTCAAGATTCAAATCCTCTTGTGAATGGTCTCTCAACCAATCAATGTTAATCTGCTACTCCCCTTCAAAAATGAAGTTTGCATGCATTTGAAAGTTCCATAGAGAAATTTTGACCTAAGAATTAGGGAAACTGACCCCGTCATCAATGTCATGATATGTTTAGCATTGCAACTTCAGAAAATGGAACAGATTGTGATGTTAGGAGTGTCAAAAAAATGCAATTACTGTAAAGTATCTGGCATGGCCAACTTTCAGAAAATAGAGTTTTTCCTTTTTATTTGGAAAGGTAGCTAGTAGAGTGCAAGGTTCAAAATGTCAACACATTATGCCCCATATCAGGTGTATTGTATCTTATCAGCAAGCCACCAATACTGCAAGTACAAGAGGTTTGGGATTTGGGGCATTTTCAAGTCGTAGGTGGGCCTAAGACCGGCCCCCTGACCAATTCTGAGAAAAAAACTAAAAAAATGATGTTTTGTGGTATCAAAACACTCATTACGCCTATTTATGCATATCGGGTGTATCGATACTTTAAACCTTAGTAGAGTGTTCTTGTTATGGGGATCCTAATCAAACAGATGCTTGGCCTTCTTAAGGGCCTTGTTTTCTTCTCACACTCTAGCAAGAAGGGGATTCCAAAGTACCATATAATAGTGTAAGTACACGGATTTAGGCTCTATAGAGATTGTGCTAAAGACACTCAGGTAAGACCACAGCATGCTCACATCGCATCACAAATCCAGATTTCCTCACTTATAAAATAAGAGAACTGCACTGAAGAACACCCAAGTACAGCTATAACATTGCCTAAAAATCCCCATGGCACAATTCCACACAGTTCTCAGACCACAATAAATAGTTACACTCGCGATGAGAAACATTGAACCATTGTCACAGCACAGAACACAACCACTACTACCTCTAGAAGATCACAATTGTTCTGCGACTCGATGCACTGTCGCAACAACCCACTGCATTGCGATGATATACTGTCTAGGTGTTGCAGTGCAGTAGCACAACATACACACAATAAGTTTGTGATATAAACACCCCAATAAAACAGCTAAAGCATGAGAGGCTTCTAGAAGTAGGGCTGTAGCTTAACTCGAGTTCACATGCAGACCTCGAGGAGAAAAGGCGGGAACCCAGACTCCGAGAATCCCTGCAGTGACACATGGTGAAACACTACTTGTGCCCTCTCGGCCTCAGATCTAACCAAGTAACAAACTTTCCCGCTTTGGGGAAAGTTTCCATTCTTTTTACATGATTTCTGTTCTCTATTACATGATTCCCTCTATAAATAGAGGAGGCCCGAAACCCTCCTCATGCATACCTTATTGGCCTCTTGTGTAAGCCCTGCCAGTTGGCGTTCTCAGCTTCCTCACAGTAGTCGCTCAAGATTGAAAAGACACTTACAAGGAGAAGAAAAAAAATAAGAAAAGAAGAGGGAGAAAAGAGAGAGAGATTTTGATAAAAGAGAGTTGGGTTGATGTGTTTAAACAGCCCCGCCCCCCTCTTAAATTTATATACATAGTATCATACTTGTAAAAGGACTGAATTGCTTACATGGCAAGATAAGATAAGATAAGATAAAGCTGAAAAAAAGACTAATCCTAATCTTATCATAAAGAACTAATCAT